AAACGCAGAGGTAAACCTCTACTTCACGCTGGTTTTCTGTGAGGTCGTGGTACCACCCCGGTTCGAGCCGGCCCATCCGTGCGACAGCAAAAGCTAAGCACGTGGTAAAACAGGACACATAAAATTGCAGGTTTCCTCACAATGTTTTTCTTCATCGAATAGCACGTGGTAAATCAGCACATAAAATTGCAGGTTTCCTCACAATGTTTTTCTTCATCGCCTAGCACGTGGTAAATCAGCACATAAAATTGCAGGTTTCCTCACAATTTTTTTCTTCATCGCCTAGCACGTGGTAAATCAACACATAAAATTGCAGGTTTCATCGCAATGTTTTTCTTCATCGCCTAGCATGTGGTAAATCAGCACATAAAATTGATGGTTTCCTCACAATGTTTTTCTTCATCGCCTAGCACGTGGTAAATCAACACATTAAATTGCAGGTTTCCTCACAATGTTTTTCTTCATCGCCTAGCACGTGGTAAATCAACACATATAATTGCAGGATTCCTCAAAATGTTTTTCTTCACCGCCTAGCACGTGGTAAATCAGTACATAAAATTGCAGGTTTCCTCACAATGTTTTTCTTCATCATCTAGCACGTGGTAAATCAGCACATAAAATTGCAGATTTCCTCATAATGTTTTTCTTCATCGCCTAGCACGTGGTAAATCAACACATAAAATTGCAGGTTTCATCGCAATGTTTTTCTTCATCGCCTAGCATGTGGTAAATCAGCACATAAAATTGATGGTTTCCTCACAATGTTTTTCTTCATCGCCTAGCACGTGGTAAATCAACACATTAAATTGCAGGTTTCCTCAAAATGTTTTTCTTCATCGCCTAGCACGTGGTAAATCAACACATATAATTGCAGGATTCCTCAAAATGTTTTTCTTCACCGCCTAGCACGTGGTAAATCAGTACATAAAATTGCAGGTTTCCTCACAATGTTTTTCTTCATCATCTAGCACGTGGTAAATCAGCACATCAAATTGCAGGTTTCCTCACAATGTTTTTCTTCATCGCCTAGCACGTGGTAAATCAACACATATAATTGCAGGTTTCCTCACAATGTTTTTCTTCATCGCCTAGCACGTGGTAAATCAACACATAAAATTGCAGGTTTCATCGCAATGTTTTTCTTCATCGCCTAGCACGTGGTAAATCAGCACATTAAATTGCAGGTTTCCTCACAATGTTTTTCTTCATCGCCTAGCACGTGGTAAATCAACACATAAAATTGCAGGTTTCATCGCAATGTTTTTCTTCATCGCCTAGCACGTGGTAAATCAACACATTAAATTGCAGGTTTCCTCACAATGTTTTTCTTCATCGCCTAGCACGTGGTAAATCAACACATATAATTGCAGGATTCCTCAAAATGTTTTTCTTCACCGCCTAGCACGTGGTAAATCAGTACATAAAATTGATGGTTTCCTCACAATGTTTTTCTTCATCGCCTAGCACGTGGTAAATCAACACATTAAATTGCAGGTTTCCTCACAATGTTTTTCTTCATCGCCTAGCACGTGGTAAATCAACACATATAATTTCAGGATTCCTCAAAATGTTTTTCTTCACCGCCTAGCACGTGGTAAATCAGTACATAAAATTGCAGGTTTCCTCGCAATGTTTTTCTTCATCATCTAGCACGTGGTAAATCAGCACATCAAATTGCAGGTTTCCTCACAATATTTTACTTCATCGCCTAGCACGTGGTAAATCAGCACATCAAATTGCAGGTTTCCTCACAATGTTTTTCTTCATCGCCTAGCACGTGGTAAATCAACACATAAAATTGCAGGTTTCATCGCAATGTTTTTCTTCATCGCCTAGCACGTGGTAAATCAACACATTTAAATTGCAGGTTTCCTCACAATGTTTTTCTTCATCGCCTAGCACGTGGTAAATCAACACATAAAATTGCAGGTTTCATCGCAATGTTTTTCTTCATCGCCTAGCATGTGGTAAATCAGCACATAAAATTGATGGTTTCCTCACAATGTTTTTCTTCATCGCCTAGCACGTGGTAAATCAACACATTAAATTGCAGGTTTCCTCAAAATGTTTTTCGTCATCGCCTAGCACGTGGTAAATCTGCACATCAAATTGCAGGTTTCCTCACAATGTTTTTCTTCACCGCCTAGCACGTGGTAAATCAGCACATTAAATTGCAGGTTTCCTCACAATGTTTTTCTTCATCGCCTAGCACGTGGTAAATCAACACATAAAATTGCAGGTTTCATCGCAATGTTTTTCTTCATCGCCTAGCACGTGGTAAATCAACACATTAAATTGCAGGTTTCCTCACAATGTTTTTCTTCACCGCCTAGCACGTGGTAAATCAGTACATAAAATTGATGGTTTCCTCACAATGTTTTTCTTCATCGCCTAGCAATGGTAAATCAACACATTAAATTGCAGGTTTCCTCACAATGTTTTTCTTCATCGCCTAGCACGTGGTAAATCAACACATAAAATTGCAGGTTTCATCGCAATGTTTTTCTTCATCGCCTAGCATGTGGTAAATCAGCACATAAAATTGATGGTTTCCTCACAATGTTTTTCTTCATCGCCTAGCACGTGGTAAATCAACACATTAAATTGCAGGTTTCCTCAAAATGTTTTTCTTCATCGCCTAGCACGTGGTAAATCAACACATATAATTGCAGGATTCCTCAAAATGTTTTTCTTCACCGCCTAGCACGTGGTAAATCAGTACATAAAATTGCAGGTTTCCTCACAATGTTTTTCTTCATCATCTAGCACGTGGTAAATCAGCACATCAAATTGCAGGTTTCCTCACAATGTTTTTCTTCATCGCCTAGCACGTGGTAAATCAACACATATAATTGCAGGTTTCCTCACAATGTTTTTCTTCATCGCCTAGCACGTGGTAAATCAACACATAAAATTGCAGGTTTCATCGCAATGTTTTTCTTCATCGCCTAGCACGTGGTAAATCAGCACATAAAATTGCAGGTTTCCTCACAATGTTTTTCTTCATCGCCTAGCACGTGGTAAATCAACACATAAAATTGCAGGTTTCATCGCAATGTTTTTCTTCATCGCCTAGCACGTGGTAAATCAACACATATAATTGCAGGATTCCTCACAATATTTTACTTCATCGCCTAGCATGTGGTAAATCAGCACATTAAATTGCAGGTTTCCTCACAATGTTTTTCTTCATCGCCTAGCACGTGGTAAATCAACACTTAAAATTGCAATCAACAATTATTTCATTGTTGCCTGTGGGGATCAAACCTGGGTTGCTCGCGTACGAGTGCTTAATTTGGTATTTTGATATATGTTAAGTTTAACTTTAAGGCGTCTAATGAATATTATTACTTATTATGTTATGAACAGTGTTTACATTAATTTACTTTGTTTATTATAATATCTCAAAAAAAAATATGTACAAAAGCTATGAATCATGTTGTATTGACAACCAATTATTCGAAATTGAAAAAGAAGGAAATGTAAAAGACATAAACATTTTAAGTTTATCGTATCACGTTTTTTTTAAATAATTTAAAGTTTATTATATATACAAAATATTGATCTTTTCTCCATTTATGGTATTTTGTGACAAAAAATTATTGAAAGTTAATAAGGGATTTATGAGTGTTATTATTAGGCACAGCATATTTAATGATTAATATGCGGTCGAAAGTTACTTCATCTTCAAGATAATTTTATAAAGATAAACTTTGCTATTTATGCATGTTATTTGGAGTTGAAAACATAGCTTACAAATAATGAAAAATTAAAATAATTCAACATAACCGGGAGAAACCAGCAGTGCAAACTTTGATTTACGCGTTTGAAACCGCGGGGCATTGTTAATATTTTGGTAAGTGTTGTAAATGGTAACTTAGCTGTTTCTAAAACTTTTATATAATCAATTGCACAACACAATAATAATTGTTTAAAAGAAAGTTCACCTGGTTTTCATGCTAGTTTTTCCTAGGATAGGTATTTTCCAAACCAGAGGTAATGTCTAAAAAGTGGTAAACTGAAAGATTACTTTTAATTACATAGTATTATCTAAAATTGATATTAAACAAAATACATTGTTACTTTTTATTTTTAAATGGTTAGTATCTATTTTCTTTTGCTTTGTGGAATCATTTTACATGTATATAAATTTCACATCAACAAACATCCAAATTCAGCCGTGTTAGTTCAGAGGCTCGCTGTAAATTTAACAGCACATGAGGAACCCGGGTTCGATCATTGCCGGTACCAATGAAATCTTAAACTTGAAAACCGTGTCAGAGATCAGAGAAGGCCTGCGCCCCGTTGTGGGACCTATATAGGTTGTAACTTTATTTTTACTTTAATCATCTAGATCAGTGCGGTATTCGAAATCGCGGAATCGCAACGGCGCAGTCACTGCGCTATTGAGCTGTCAAATGTTAATTTAAATTTACCTAAACAAAAATATTTTAATTTAATTTGTATAATAAATTATAATTAAATGCCGTGTAGTGCCGTTGAAAGAATATGCACTATGCCATATCGTCCAGTGGGTGTCGTAAGAATCGACAGAGGGAAAGAAATCAGGAGTGGGCAGTAACGTTCCTGATAACGGCTCAAAATAATAACTAAATGCAACTGTGCGAAATCCTCCCTATGGAGCAATCTATGGGGAAGTCTATGTTAAGGAGTAATCCTTTATAGCCTGTAATAGAGATTAATGTTATGTAAAAGCGTCTAGGTTGCTTGGTATTCAAATTTTCCTTAAAATAATTAAAAATGGGTTTTAGACCAAATTTTACCGATCTTGTTATTGGATAGGATGTATTCAAACATAGACCTTCATTAGATTGTCAGGTGGTAATAATGAAAATATAAATGTTTTATAATATGTAAAAATATATATATTAACATGGTCCACATATTTGGTCTGCTCGGGTTTGCAACATACTTGCTTTGATTTTGTATTTTTATAAAAACACTATTTACAAATCTCTAATATAAAGTTTTATTTTCAGAGCTTTTACTGGCCAGTCGAGCGGCCTTTGACTCCCGGTGAAGTACTGAAGGTGGAGCTGCTTGAACGGACAGTATGGGGCACTTGGAGTGTACTTGGCGCTTACCGCCTCGGCATGCATATCCTTGTGACAGAGGGTTATCTATCTTTCTGTGATAGCCTCATCGATGAACGCAATCAACCCGTATCGGTAAGTAATTTTATTCTGGTACTGTACGATATGTGCATGCTAACACCGCTTGACATAAAATTAAGTGATTTGGATATAGACGTGTATTTGTATAATCATTATTTATTTTTATTTATTAACTATAAGTACAAATGTCTCAAGGCCTCATCAGTGTATATAAGATCAACGAACACATACGAACATACCGGCAATAAATGTATTTAGGAGAAATTTTTATTAAATGCTTGAATATCCAAATCACGAAATGAATGACGATGTTTCTCGAAATGACAACTATCATAAGTATAAATTATAACCACTCGTAGTTACATTTTTGACGTGCTCGAATTCAGATATTTGAATTACAAGTTGACTTACGCATGCTCACATTGAAACAGTTTTACGCTAAATTTTATATACTAGCTTTTTACCCGCGGATTCGCTCGCGTGGTCTTCAATTTAGAAACATCATTAAATGCTATTCCGTGCCAAATTTAGCATAATTAGATCACTTTTAGAGTCACTTCGGTGTCTGTGTCTCTATGTCAGTTTGTCAAAGAATTTTTTTGAATTCCCAAAGACTATTGAACCTAGATGATTGATATTGGGCATATATATACATATTACACGAACACGTGCATAAATTTAGTATTTCGTTATTACATTAATATCATATGTTTAGAAACATCTACAATTGGAACGAAGTTCTTTATCGGACGGTACGAATTTGACGGATGAGGGCTAGGCAACAAAAAGTGTAAGATTTTTCCGTTACGACCCCTTCTGACGTAGTGTGCATGGTGGTGGCGGCTATAAGGAAGGAAATTGGAATAATATCTATCTCCGTCGCACTTTTTCTTATCATGTCATAAAAGAAATATTTTTTTTTAAATAACACTTCATTTTAATAGACGTTAGCAATTCATTTATTTGTATTTGTTAATCAATATTATAATACGTTTATCAATAATAATATACTACGCAAGGAACTTCGTTCCAACCGAGCGTTCCAAGACACTCACGCATGTATTTTTTATATTGGACGTGTCGTCCGATTTATCCATAAGAAAGATAAATTGTTTTGCTATCAATATTTATTATTATTGTTATTTACTCTTTACAATGTATAAGTAGGACTGGAAAATATTATTAAAACCTTAATTTAGTCATAAAATTAAAGTATATAAAATCATTTAATTTTTTTTTATAGGGTAAGGGTGATAAACGAGCACACAGTTCACCTGATTGTAAGTGGTTGCTGCGGCTCATAGACATCTACATTTATCATCTATTACAAATCGAAATGCAGTTTCGTTGTCACCCGTGAGGACTAAGATGGAATGCCTCATTTCCAGTAATAAGGGTCTCCGGTTCTCTACACTCACCATACGAAACACAGCAGCGCTAAGCTGCTATTTTACGCTGGTATTCTGTGAGAGCGTGGTCCTTCCCCGGTCGAGCCAACCCATTCGAGCTACAATTATACTACTAATATAGCTGCAGCATGGTTCTATCACGTAAGATTCTTTAGTCGAAACAGCTAGAAAGCGAGCCTTATCTTGGTCACTGTGGAAATTATGAAGCAAATCTTTCTGCACTATTTATATCAACGGAATATCCCACTGTTTTGTTGGTTAACTTCCAGTGGAACATTTTCACCGGGTCAGAGCGTTTGCCATGTCTGCCCTGCCTCCGTAGCAAAGCACAGGTCTACTTTATTATATAAAATTATGTTACATAAGTCACTGATACTATGCACGGAAACAAGGAAAGCAGGCAATGCAACGGTAGAAAGAACAATATTTTTAAAATTTGAAAAATATGAGTAAGATAACTGAGCACGTCATCTGCTCTACCTCCCAGTGTACCGTCGTACAGGTACCAGACATTCAGCTTGGATTACAAATTTGAAATAATCGGTTGAATTCCCAAACTGAAAAGTGCTGGACTTAGTGAGTCACCCAGCTGAACACCGACAACAGAATCGATAACATGGTTTTCCTTAAACAAGTTAGTATTTTGACTGTAACATTAATGATAAATTTCAGGGGTATTGTTAGCCATTTCTTTCAGCAAGTTTACCCTATCAATAGAGTTAAAAGCATTCCTTAGGTCAACCTTCATAAGAACATCTGCATCAGAGTTTGTTAAAAATGTACGCACTGAATGTACCGCCGCCTCAGAGCCACCTCTAGTGCCAAAGCCTAGTTGAGTAGGCTGAAATTTTGTCTTAAGGTTAGAGATTATGTGCCTGCAAGCTAATTTTGAAGTTAAGCGTCGAAATGTGGAACCAACGGCAATAGGACGGATACCGGAGGATACGGATCCTTTTTTTGACGGCACATAATCTTGTCCCACATAAGAATGCAATGAAATTTGGATTAACATTACCAGAAAGCATAAAGTTACATAATTTTGTAATGTCCTTAAGAAGTACTCCGCCGGCGTCACCGGCAGAAGCACTTACAAGATCATTAAGATGTTGAGGCGTAATTCCGTCAATACCGCCAGCAGAGCCATTCGAAAATGACATAATTGCTTCTAAAGTGTCTTTTTCAGAATTTTGTAAAGATTACATAGAAGTCTTGGGAGGCAGCGGTAAACCCTGAGAAGATTTGACCGAAGGATGCTTCTGACGTAGGCTTTCAAGAGTTTTGACATTACGAGCAGCTAGGATGTCGTCTGAGAATAAAATACGGGATGCATTTTTTAAGTCGCCATCCATTATTTCGACACAACGACTTTTTTTTAAATCAAATCTAGGACGTGGTCGAGATAAATGAGCTTTAAACAGGGTAATCTAAATTTTGAAAAGATGTCTCTTTTAGTTGAGACGTAATTGATCTGTTTATTGTTTTATCAAAATGAAAATGGGAATACGCGAAAGTAAATAATTTTTGCCAACTCTTTTCACTATTAGTGAAACAATTTTGTATAGTGTATGACAATGCTTTAGCAAGTTGCATCCTCGCACCTCTAGGATTTCTTTTTTACTTGTACATTACGATGATAATTGTAAATTTGCGCCGAAAAAAGGGAAAAATTTGTGTCATAAAAGGAATTACTAATAGTGTTATGAATTTCCACGGTAGGCTGTGAAGCCGAAATAGTTTTACTATGGCATCGGTAAATATGTATATTTAATCCCCTTTTACCTTTAAACTGCCTACCGTCGGTACAATTTTGTTACTGTAGGAAATCCGGCTGTGAATGTAGCGGAGCGGAGATATTCATTCAAATTACAACCATTCACAATTAAAGTTAATTTCGTTTTAACAAAATAATGATGATTTAATAGTCTTATATCCGATATTTAATTCATATCATTGGCGCAATTTAATATTGATTGGCACCATACAATAGATTCCGATGTTTTTCTACGTTCGAGTAGACTTCAAAATTTCATAAATGCAGTTCTATAATGATGAATACTACACATGTAATAAAATAAAATTTTAAAAAGTGTTTTATTTAAACGGGTTGTACAAAACACATGTGTGGAAGAAACTTCCAGAAAAATTTGCATAAAAGAACATATTGCTGAAGTGAAGCACCGACGCACCGGAAAGTCTGAAGTAGTCAACATATTCAGTACCGTCCCAACCATTATATCAGATCTAATAGACAACAAACCCTCGAAATAGAACATCGATTCCTACCAATGATGATTTGCGAGGCTATTGAAGTTAAAGACATTCTAACTTTAATAGAGAAGATGACTGGGTGCTACCATCAAATCCAAACCCAAGCATAGTACTGTAAGACTTCAATGTACAGTAAGATCGTCCTGCGTAGATCGGACCAAACACACCACAGACCGACCGACAGACCACATAGTTAAAAGTTGATTGTAGTCTTTGTAAACTATAACATCAGGACGTTCAATAACTCAGCTCCCCCCCCCCCCCCGTCCCCATGGATTATTTAAAGTGCCAGGAATGCCAGGAATTAAAAAAGTTAAAATTAAACACGATATTTATTATTGTATTCAAAAATTTATATTTATGTATTTTATTTATTCTTATATTATATTCTCATTTTATCTATTCTATTGATTCTTTGTTTTTGGAGAACTTTTTAAGAGGAACATTTCAGATTTACATTATTTTCGTCCAACTTTAACCATTGATGCAGCGCACGAGGTGGAAGCTCTCAAGAGGCATGATTTTTCCGTCTTTGTTGACAAATATCATCAAAACCTTAAGTCACAATATAAATATATACACATAATATATAGCCCATGCTTTTCTGGAATAATGTACCTTTTAAATGGTGTAAGAAATATTCAAATTGGTGCAGTAGTTCCGGAAAATTACCCTCCACAAATATACAAACTCACAAAATTCGCACTCTCTCTTTATAATATTAGTATGGATATAGATTTTACAAGTATAAGTAAAGTTAGTTGGCGAAACTTTGCAATCGCATTTAGCTGGCATGATAATAATGTTCATATTATTTGTAAATTTGAAAGTGGGGTGCAGGTTGGCCATTATTACACAATAATTTTGTATAGGACGCCAAGAGCACGAGTGGGCTTGCAGCTGTTTTACCACACATGTACCGATTGTATGTGCATGTGTGAGTGAGGAATCTATTTATTTTTTAAATCAAAAATAAAACAGGTAAATGTTTGCTTTTGCACGTTATTTAATCGGTGTGTTTTTATTCGTATGTGAGCTATGATATCTTAGATACATATATCTCGCGTATCAGCTAGCGCTGGAGGTAAGCAGTTATTGCAGAATTTTGCTAAAAGTTCCTCCACGTTTTCCTTCCAGAACTGGTCGTTTCTATAAATGAATTCAAATCTAATTATACCGTCGCCTATCCACAGGTACTATACTACTAATATAGCCGCAGCATGGCTCTACCACGTATAAAGAGTTACAAAAAGACCTACAGTTAATCAGTTAAATAGTAGTGTGACATGGATTTTTCACGTGACCTTTGCCACAAGTGACGTTACACGTGACCTATTCATTAGGAGACACTATTGAGGTCAGTGAGAGGCTTAGTGC